AACATTTTTGAAAACAATAAATCCACTTTAGCATTAGAAATTTTCTAAAGCAATCTTTTTATTTTTATCATAAGGGATCAGTAAATATAAATAATATGACACCTACACCTATACCGTTTTGCCTTTTCTTTATACGATTATGCAATTATACAATAATTTGAAAGTATCCGAATAATAATTTTTATCTAATTTTGATTCAAATTGAGGTACTGATAGAACCTAATTTATTTTGGTACTTAGGCATGGACGCACAACTAGATATATCTTACATCATATACCTAACCAATCCGCTAAGGTTCAATAAAAGAAGATTTTTGCCATGATTCATTGGGTTTCTTAGGATTACTATTTTTAATAATTCAAGTAAGGTCTTATAAAGTTTTGCCCATGGAAATTGTCCTGATCATGCTTAAAAATTCAATTGCTTTATATTTAAAAGCCTTTCTTAACATGGCCTAAGGATAATAAAGGAAAAAAATTCAAATTATTAATAATTATTCGACTACGAATTAAAATTATAGTTTTAAATCTAGAAAATTTTGTCCATGTTCTGATGATGATGATTCAGAAGTCAGAAGCAGAGAAAAACTTTTATTCAAGTTTAATTTCCAGTATGCGCATACGAAAATGAATACTTTTCACACAAATTCCGCATAATCGCATAATATTCGAATAAACGTTAAAAGTACAAAACAAAAATAATTTTCTTACTACAAAATAACTGGATTTTTATATTCAACAAACATTGCAGAGAAAGACTGAACACTAGGGCAGTCCGAATAGGGTTGTGGAATAATTGTAAAAGTTAGAAAATCTATTCCAACTCAAATCACAACCAGCTAAACACACTGCCAAAGTGAGTAGAGTCTTTTATTGGATGAGAAGACAATGATTATTTGAAAAATTATTACTTTTAAAAACACTGCGAATAATTTTTTACACAATCGTTCAGTCAAATGATCGACGTCACGATGCTGTAGTTATCAGTCTGAAAAAAAAAGTTTATTGCTATCTACGATGGATTTATCTGCTGAGAGCTGATTTTAAGATTTTATTATTAATACACGTGCTCTCGTTAAGAATAAATAGTTTAAATAATAAAATCACTGATTAAAAATTGAATGCCTGTAGTGTGATATTGGCATTGTTTATATGGCGAAAAGGAAAAAATTCTTATTTTGAACTGCATTTGAAAGTTATTGAGAAACGATTAAATGTTTATTAATTAAAAACACAAGATAAGATAACTAAATAGGTATTTTAGAAGAAATAATTAGATAGTATGAAAGAGTTTATACTTTTCGAAAGCAATCTTAAAAAGCTCGTTTTTTTCGTTAAGACTTTTTCCTAAAATAACAAGAAATATATGAAATGAAAATGAGAAAAACTGCTAGATATGCTGTAATATTTGATAAAATTTAACTTCATATGATATAAAACATCCTGAAAAATAATTGTCATACAAAATTAATACATATAGAAACAATAATCTTTATTGAATGTTGGTAAAATAAACTTCACAAGAAAAACAAAAACTGATCAAACACCACCATAAACAACCATCGTCATCAGAAGGTAATCAAATTNCGGACATTTTCGATATTTATTTTAATGTTTCAATAATTTAAAAGTTAGGTAATTGCATATTTCAGTTAGGATAGTCTTCAAAGTTTTCTTTTCTCAGAAGCAATTTATACGTTATCATTTTAAATGTAGCAAAACTTTTTATTTTTTTAAAATTATGAATTTGTAATAAATAAATATTTAAATATGAATATCTTCCTTTTAAAACTCAACAATCGAATAAATAATATGAAATTAGATCATCATCATCATCAGGTCTAAGAAAGACTAAAAAGACCCTCATTTGCCTGTTTAAACAGTCGGGAGGCAATGGAAATTTGTGACAAATAACATCACTTTCCAATCTCAAAGGAAATTGGGTTGTGCTTATTAGTCACTGTCATCCGTTTTGCATCCTCCTGGTATCTATCATGAAGATATTACCAGGCTGAATGAAGATGATACCAGGTTGAATCATGAAATTAGAATTCACCCGTTCAAAAGAATAAAGAAAAAATATAAAATCTTTGTGTACTTCTCAACCTACGAGTTTTCTAAATTTATAGTATAAAAAAATGATTTAATCCATTTTGTTACAAATTTATTTTAATGAGTTGCAATCATGTGTAGAAAAAAACGCCAACGATCGGCGTTAAAATCAATTCACTAGTGGGACAGTACCAAATTTATGATTTATGTCGTTAGTAAAAAGTATAAGAGTGTTTTCGTGTTTATATTCGTACAATTAGGTATAATTTATTATTTTAAAAACTTCGAGTATGGATTTGATTGTATTTGGTCCACCCTTAATATAATGCAAGCTATATTCTTAATGATCTATTGTAACAATCGGTGATTAAAGAATTCCATCGAAAAAATAAGTCACCCAACAATTTCACAATTAGGTAGGTGTCTAATTAGTGAATGTATTAAATCAGGTATTTTTTCTTCTAAGTATTACAAATGTGTGCATGAAAACTCTATGAAACCGAGTAAAACATTATAAAAAAGATTCTTTAAATATTAAAAGCTTAATAGAAAAAAGAATGAGAGATTACTTTTCAAATAATTTTGATACTATTCTTTAAAAATTCAGATTACAATCTTATGATCTTCTAATGACAAACTGACATTGTTCTAATTAAGTGACAAATGTTCTAATTCAATATTGCATTGATAAATGTGGGAAAGATTTAATTTCTCGTAATATGCTCTGGTGACTAAAGTGTGTATTTGTTCTTATTTGTCAAATACATCAGGAAACAAACGATATCACCTTAAAGCATTTTTAATGCACTTTCTAATATAAAATAAATCACAGCTTGTAATATGCATATTTGAAACTCTTGAAAGCATATTAAATACCATGGAAAGCTTATCAAACTTTTCTATCCTCTCGTTGTCGAAGATAATTTGATAAGGTGCTATCTTGAAGGGAATTCATTATAGATTTTCATAACCTATCTATATATGTTTAATTTAATTATCTTAGAAAACTTTTAAAATTGCTGCAAAATTTTAAATGTATTTGATTGCTTTTGATTATGTTGAGCACGTAATTTACCAACGTACTTATATATGTATAGGTAGTATATAGGTAGTTTGAATGCGCTTTGCGTTGAAACGTTGCGCAATCACTTATTTTTCTTGTACTCTAACAAGTATTACAAGAACAAAAAGCAACCGATTTGTTAACTTTTAAAGTTGGTGATATTAATTTTATATTTGATTTCAATGATTAGTTCAATGTTCACTAAGATTTTTCAGTATTGAAAAGTTGTAAAAAGATCTACTTCAATTTTACTAAGCATTCGTCACTTTCGTTTTTGTGTATTTCCAGTTTCATCTCTTTGACGTTATCGTTACGATTAGTGAGTTTATGTAGAAAACTTTTAAAATTAAATGAAAACAAGGTGCTGTTATGCAATCTGATTCTTTTCAAAAGTTTTCATTGATGTAGGTTTCAGTTGTTTTTTTTTCTTTTGCTTTACAATTCGCCAATTTTCATTTGCAGAATGGTGTTTGTTACAGCAACTAAATATAAGAAACCTTGAATTTTATTTCACTTGCATTTGTATGGATGTTACATCGTTGGATAATTTAGTTTTAAAATTCTTAATTTGTATCGTTAATCAAGAAATATTTGACCCGTTTTAATGAAAAATAATCATCAAATAGTTTTTCTAATATAATACTTCCAACTTTTTGTACTTTCTTCACCAGAATCTGCTGCAACTTGCAAGCCTAACCAATCTTTTAAAAATTATTAATGCATTATTCAAACTTTGAGAATGTGTTGTCATAGCGGAGAAAAGAAAGCCAATACATTTAGTAGAACTATCTAATACCCAAAAAACTAACGTCTGTCTTCGGAAATCAATGAATAATGCCATGTACAGTAAATCACTTTCTGTCTTCCGGACTTTGATCTACTCTTTTAATAAACTAAAATAAAATGAAAATACTCTCATTCACACCGCTGCGAAAAATTTCTGCAATTCGCGAGTCATCACTACAGTTTTTCCATTTATTTTCTTTTAAATTTTCAAAAATTATTATGAAGCATTAAATTTACTCTGTATTATTTATTCCGCTAATTGATTAATTAACTTTCAATTTTTCAAAAAAAATTGAAGCTTAATGATTTGAAATCTTTTATTAAATGCACTTTTTTCAATTGTGGTATTCTATTCCTGTCCTGAAAGTCCTAAGTCTCAATCTGCCGTTGCTTTTCTAGCAATGATTAAATTAACACTGAGTGACTAAATATTAGAAAAATACTTCATTGTGAGTCTATAATTTTTTTTTCTTTTGCGTTTTTTTGCTCACAGATACATTCAACTTATAACAAATTCAAACGCAATCGCGCGAGTTTATTTCGTTCTTCTAAGTATTTTTCCTTGGTTTTTTTTTCTCAATTTGCAGTGACAGGAAGAAAGACGATTGAAGTGCTTCACATCAACAACTACCACGTCTTTCGATGAAGTTCGGAGAAGGTCGTTTACACAACATTTTCTCCTCCACTGTACTGCTTTGATTTATCTTACGAAATCTTCACAATTTTTACACTACTTGAGTAAGTAAAAGCAAGTATTTTTTATTATTTTTTTAACTTTCATTTTAGATAAGTAAAAATAGTTTTCTTTTCTTTGTCACTTTTTTTATAAATGAAACGTTGTTGAGTGTTTTTTCTTTTAACTTGTATTAGTTTCCCACAGCTTCTGACAGATAAGCAATGTAAAGCTTTTTGAAACGGGTACCTCATTTTTGATCTATTATCGAAATTATTAGATCTGTCTAAATTAGTATATCACTAAATACGTCTGATGTTGATTTAATGTCGAATTGAAAACCGTAAATTGTTCCATTTCAACATTACTTGATCTGTTTAGAACATGGAAATATATCATTTAACATTATTATCGTATTAATCGTAACTGATTCCTCATTTTATGTCAGAGTGGTATATTCATTGTAGAAAAAGGTTAAAAAAAATTATTTATTTTATTTACTAAAATTGATTAAAAAACTTTCAGTATGAAATAATAATAAATGACAATTAGGTATCTTTATTTCGCCCTTAATAGATTTAGTTTGACACATGTTAGCCGATTTAAAAAAATAAAATGGTAAAACATAATTTTTATTGTTTTAATGTTTAGATAAGACCAAAATTTCTATAAAACTGGTAAAAGATTATTTAATTATATTTTTAATCGCCCGAGTAGCATTTTAGCCTAACATCATTACTTTATGTTGCTCCTTCAGCTGCATTTATAACTCTTAAAAAACCTAACTTATGGCATCTTTCAAATTCCAACTCAAGACTGACTTAAGAAGATAACATAAATGGTTTTTGCCAAAAGTCATTCAAATGACTGAAGGTAAAGGATTGTCTGCCAACTAGATGGAAGTGACAGTCCTGTGCCCGATCACGACCATCTAGTTGTGCTATTCGGATAAAACCAGTATTTTTCTTATGAAGCGTTGTCCTACAATTTCTAAACTGATCCTTTAGAGCATAAATGTACTTTCTTGAAGTGAAAAGCTTTTAAGAAAATTTAATTTATCTATCTAACTGACGAAATAAAATTTACATGTCATTAAATAATATCATAAATTTAAAATATAGTGTTAAATGGACGAAACTAAACTTGTGTTTCATATCTCTTTTATTCCGATTTAATAGTTTTCTCTATATTTAATGATACTTTTATATTGTATAGTAGCGGAAACTTTTAATGTTGCTTCAAAACAGTTTTATAGAAGATCAATTATTAAATAATTTTTAGGCAATTCTTATTTTGACTACTCAATCCTTGTTTTTAAAAATATGTGGCGTATTATAAGCTTACATAGCGGTTCCTTATTGATATGTTTTCATCAACCTTCACAACCGCACAATGAAATATTAAAGTCCAGCATACAATTTACTTTGATTCAGTAATGACGAAAATAACAAATATTGTCCAATAAATCGATAATTGTGAGAAATCGCGTAGATAAGGTAAGCAAAGTAAATGCGCATTTCGTGGTGGATAATACAAATACCAAATCAATTAACATTTATGTTTTGAAATATATTATTATAAATATTAAGCTTTCATTTTGTGTCAAAATATTATGTATCAGCAATATTTATATACACTTCATATGCATATTTGTGTATTACTAGGATAAAATTTATTTTTACAGCATACCTATAATCACATAAATAGAACAAAAGAATTTATAAATAGTTAAAATCCAATATTTTAAGCAACCAGATAAATATAAGGTATTGATAAGAAAATCTTTTCCTGAAAGTCGGTCGCGGCAGTAAATATTGTGCGAAACCCGATATTTAAAACTCCGAATATTATAGAATTTCTATAATAACAGAATTAGTAAAAATCTAACTCCAATAAGTAACCACGTGATATTCATTGCTATGACCGATTTTCAATATCAAACTTTTATATCATACCAGCCCTCGGTGTTTTTAAAGTTTCAATTTTTATTAAGAATTCATTCGATTTATTGTTGGATCGTGAATTGATTTATTAAAACTAATAATGTCACTTTTATGCTGCCTAATTTGCTTTTGTGTAATTACTTCATCAAATTGTAGATAAAATGGAGAGAAGAACTTCAATTTAGTTTGCATTTTATACTTTTTTTCTTTTGTTACAAAACCCACTTTTAATTCATCAAGTACGTACTTTTTAAAGTTTACTTGGTAATTACACCTATGCTTTTTCTTCTTTTCTATCTTTGGTTTTTATTAAATTAGTATTCAAAATATAATAACAAAATTATTCAGCAGTTGAGTTTAACGGTGCAGCTTTTTGGCTCTTTAATAAAACACACAGACTTTTGAAAGAATTTCTATTTTTTTTTTCTTATAAATTGAATCAATTTGTATAAAACATGTGTACCTAAATATGCGAAAACATAATTTTTTCATAGCTTCTCAAATAAATTGAAAATTTTCAAGTTGATTTTAATTGTGTATATGGTTGCTCATGACGTGTAAAGTCCGAATAAAAAATATCTACTAGGTATTTTGTGTTTAATGAGGGCAGTTCGATGACATAAGAAGAAAAAAAAATGCACTTATTTTGCAAGGAGACGAAAAATCTGTTCATACAAACACGACTACTTTAAGTTTTCAATGAAGAATAAAAATAGAAATTACATCAAAATAGATCAGATTTTCTTACAGAAAAATAAAATCTACTTACGATTTTCACCATCATCGTCATTTTTCGGATTGCCGTCAGAATAAAGTGTGTTTATTCCGCAAAAAGAACCGAATTGTAAGGTATCACGTTTCACGTTTGCATTGTTTCTATAATTAAATTTCAATTTAATTTCAAATTAATTTTTTAGTATTCGATTACATAATTCTATCTACAATTTTTTTGTTCAAAAAGTTTTTACATGCCAAATTTATCCTATATTCTATGAAGAACTTGACTCAATGTGAATATGCATTTTAAATTCAAAGCAAAGATTAGATCATTTAAATTTAAAAATCAAGTATCTAAAGAATTTTCCTTACTTAACCTCGATGAACAAGTTTACAAATAAAATATTTACTAACTCGATTATGAACCTAGAAATGATATTATTTATGTACTAGGTACTTTATTTTATTTCAAATATATGTAGATTCCATATAATAGAGCTCTATGATGTCGATCGATGCATTTTGTTTCAGCATAAACTGAGATACCACCAGCTGTGTTCACTAATTCTTAATTACAAAGCGAACCCAGCGTGGTCCCCAGCATATAAAGAAACTATTTATTAATAAAACGTGAATGCTCACACAATAACCGTTTTTTATAATTTTCAAAAAAGTGTCTTCGCTAGATGAAATTAAACTTGAAATACTGTTAAAACTTCTTGTTTATAACAAAGCTTTTTTTCTCATAGGGAAGGATGCCTAAATTTTATTTTACTTTAATGATAAACATTTTATTGCGTAAAGTATTAAGAACTAGATTTGGTTAAGCATTGTAGCCAATAATCGTCTATATACAAATCACAATGAATTCTATCAGATAGAAAATTTTCGATTATTTTAAATCAAAAATGTACTTTTGAAATATTAAGCTCACTTATTGTCCAACTGGCTCAACATCATATCTCTGTCAATGTGCTTTTTTGGTTTTACCTTTTTTCCGTTAGCTACCTTGACAAGCAACAAGGCTGATAGAAAATAATGGTGAATCCAAGTAAACAATTTGACAGGGATATAATGGGAATGCCAGGTGAGCACTGCGCCAAAAGTGAACAAGCTCGATCTATCTTTAATTTAAAAGTAAGTAGGGTAGTTTACTATTAAAGTTATCCCCCCAAAATCGTGATAAGAAGTATTACCACTTTAATTTTCTTCGCTATTATCATTATGCATAACTTAAAACTTTTTAGAGAAGTTCTTTCTTTGGACTATACTCCAATTCTCTAAAAAGTATTAAGCTATAAATAATTATAATAGCGAAACTAGTGGTGACGCTACTAATCACGATTTCAAGGTGTAACTTTAATAGTAGATCGTTCTGCAAACACTTGTAATTCTTTTAAAACCCTAACCAACAAAAACTTATCTTTTTCTTGACCTTCACTGTCAGTTCGTCAATCAAAAAAAAAATTCACGTTTTTTGAAAACACTTTTCGTAATGTGTGTTTAAATAAAATTGTTTTTATTTTGTACTTCGTATTAAATGAAATAAATGTCTGAGTCTCTTTTTTCATTATTTTTATCCACACGGATTTATACATAATTATTAAATAACGAAGAAATATTTCTTGACTCTTCCATATTATTCAAAGTTAAAAAAATGCTTTGTAAGTTTAGGAACTAATGGATTTTTTAGCTTGTGAAATTGTTTAGATTGTGAGATGAAGATACATCTGTGTCCATATTATTTTAAATATTAGTACAACATACTAAACTTCTATTATATTTTAAATAAACTCTCTTTAAAAGTAAATAATAGATATTTATGTAAAATTAATGCTTTTATTGCCAATATATTAGTATTACACATAGTGATTGTAAATCGAATTTTATTAGTTATTCTGACAGGATAATTCATGAAAAAAACATCGTGAAGCTTTTTTTGTAATAAGTTAATAAAAGAAAAATTTCTTCATCTAAGTAAAAGATAAGTTACAAGTCTAATTCTATTTAATAATTGTAATAAATTCTAGCCT